AATTGAATTGAATTGAAATTAATTTAAAGAATCATCTCAATTTATGGACATTTGTATGGTGGGGTGTGATTTTATATGCCAATGATGTCAATCTGGTTTAAAGGGTTAAGAAGACAGCTGACACATATTGACCTACAGTAAAAAGGTCATTCAACTGTGAGTTTTAATGAACACTATTTTCCATGGCTATATAAAGATTAAAAATACGTCCACATGCCCGTACTGTGCACGGGTGGACATCTGTGCAGGTGTACGAGCTGTATATCTTGAGTGGTGAGTGTGTCAGGTACTGTGACTCACAGATTGAGGCTGGTCTGTGATCCAGTCTGGCTGTATCTGTCTGGCTGAGCCTGCTTGGTGGAGCACAAGCAGCTTCAGCTATTAATAGAGCACTGCATGTATGGGATGTTAAAGCACTCTTCTCTCACACAGATGCTCCACTCATCCATCTATAACATTCATCTCTGAAGTAAACTACTTCTCTATTGCTTTCTCTTTCTCTCTAGTTTTTTTTTAAGCATTTTTGAGGTCCACCACTTATTACTCTCACAGAACACATATGCTTATAGTTTTTACAAATGTAATTTTTATACACTCTGGTCCAAGTGCTTATTTTCTGTTTCTTTTTTCTTCTCCCTTTGACTCTGCACTGCCCAACATCTGTTTCAAATCACACTTTGTATATTCACACAGTTACACAGCTGGGTGTGAGGTATTTCATGTTGTCGTATTGGGTGCTGGAAAGTGAATGCTGGGTGTTGTGTGCTCGTTGTTGTGGGAGGAGCTTCGTGCACTGGTTACTGGGTGCTGGGTGTTTGGTTGTGTGGTTGTACTGGGCGTTCTGCTGGATGTCGGCTTCTGGAGGCTGTTATGTGCTTCTTCAGCTCCAAACCTGCTACTCAACAGTTTAGTGCAGCCATTAGACAAGCTAATGGGTCAGCCGACAGTGGGAAATTTGTATGCCTGTGTGAACCTGCCTTTGAACTACATGAGGGCATGTCTTAGATCCATAAGGAATGGGTGTACAGGTGCTACTTACAAAATGTCATTAGACAGAACTATCACTGAGGTAACTCAGGGGTTGTTTCTATGGGAGCAGATAAAAAGGTTGTGGTACCTATTAACCAAAGCTCCATCCCTTAAATTAACCTTGGCTGAAATGTGACACACACACACACACACACACACACACACACACAGAATAAACAAGCACACACAGAATAAACAAGCACATACACAAACACACACATCCACTTAAGCTGAGCTTCCGTGTGGTTAATTCCCCTCGGCCAACTAACCAACCACAAGAATATGTCAGCAGCACTGATGAGAAGCACAGGGCGGACAATGAGCATCAACCAAAAGGAAGAGCAAAGGAAAGGAAAGGAATAAGAGAATAGACAGTGAAGAGCAGTAGTGGAAGTTCGAAGCGAGATACCTTCTGAGGAACAGTTCCTGCCACAAGCGCTCTGCAGAATATAGAACATCTCACGGAAAGACCTGGGACCTTCCAGGCATGAAGCATTGAGGAGAGAGAGGAGAGAGAAGGTGAGACAGGAAGGACAAACAAGGCTGGGGGAAGAGGACAGGAGGATGGTGTAAGGAGAAAAGGAGATGAAGAGACTGATGAGACAGGACAGAGACAGCTGCTTCAGATGAGCTGAACTTCTAGCAAATGATTTGTACATAGGATGGAGTCTATGGAAAAATAACATTTTGGTCTAGTACTGCCGCGCTGGCTCATGGGTTTTAAATACACTAATATTGATATTTGTGGATTACAGCTGCTTTGCTAAATTTCTTTCCTGGGGAATTGTCGTGAATCAATTGTCTTATTATTATTATTATTACTATTAAATGAAAAGATAAAATGTTTTAGAAACAACATTATGACTGTGATAGCTGTGATTCCTGAGAAAGGATATTTACATTAGGACAAATCATGGATGAAAAAATTAGAAAGAATGTGAGGGGAGACATTAACAGAAATAGAGAGAAGAGATGGACAGAGCTATAGAAAGCCACAAGCACGAGCCAGAAGGTATCTCCAGCCGGATACACACTGAGTGTCACTGCATAGTGACAACAAAAGGAAATATGGATGGTGCATTGTGGGAACCGCAGTCCTTCCTGGTCGGTGTTGTCCATCTAGCTTGGGCTGCCTGGAGCCCACAGTGCATGCATCACGGCTGGGGAAGGGTCAGCGTATATATAGTATTGAATGGCATTAAAAACTAATATAATTACCGATTAGTAAAATTATTCAGTGACTTGTACCACACCAGAATTGTCACCACACATAATGCGTAAAAACTGAGCTTAGTGTGCTTGGCATGACATAATCTGGTTAAGCCTTTTAAGTGGGTGAAAGTGAACTATGAGGGATTTAACAGTGCCACAGTGGATATTTCCCATTAATAGGGGAATGTCAAACTGGATTTCAAATCTGTCAGAATGTTCTTTACTCTCAGTAAAGTAAGTTAGACAGGGCCTTCTCTGAGCAGAGACATTATGAAACTAAATTAGTCACATAAGAAGTATAGCATAATACTTATATATCTTAATCTCTTAAAGGTAAAGTTAGAAAAAAAGTCTCAGGATAACAAACATGAAGATACGGTTGCTTACTGTATGACCAATGTAGTTTTTGTGAACTTGGCTTTTGTCCTTTTTTTTAAGGAAGCTGAAAATTAACTAGCTCATTAACACTGGTTTTTCCTTCATGTTGCTTTCCTTGAGCCAAGGTCATAACATATGGTCTAGTCCGGGATCCACTTGCTAATTCAAGGATTCAAGGTTAATTTATTGTAATCTGCAATGTGTTGTATAACTGAAATTAAGATTACAGTTAATTTTATGTAAAACAAAACATATTGATTAATAAGTCAATATAATAGAAAAATAAAAACTATTTGGCATGATAAAGTGCTGAGGATGAATTTAGAAGTCTCATTGCCTATATTTGGTTATTTCCAAAGGTTTTTGGTAGCTTTTGGCTTTGTTTGTTTTTTTAAGTGTGGCATGGAGGTAAAGAGTCTGTCTGTCCCTTGTTGCACAGTGGGGCAGGTTATCTGAGTTTAGAAGTAAACCCTGCTAAGAAGGGGAGGCTTTAGATGGGGGGCAGCGGCTACCCCTTAAAGTCTCCACGCCACCCTCCTGTCACCCCATGACTATTTCTCTAGACTGCTGGTAACTTAGGTGCTGAGTGAACCAGCTGACCTGATTTCTCAGTTCTTCTATCAGCTCACGATCTTATTACTATTATTTTGTTTTAACGTAATCCTAGGTGGAAACGCTAGTCTTTGTTGGGGCTATACTGTACAGTGCTCGTGGGCCAAGGCTACATCCACACTACCACATTTCTGTTTTTAAATGCCATTTTAAAATGACAACAATCCGTCCAGACTAGTGCTTTAGCACTGTTGCTGAAATTATCTCTGTCCATACTAACACGCCTGAAAACGCATACCACATGACCATTCCAGGGTTCCCACTCTTTTTAAGAAGTCATTTTCCAGGAGTTTTCTTGACAACACAGGACAACACTTGCTCACACACATATAATTTACCAGTAGGCCTAGTTCTGACACATTTAACCCCAGTTTTATTCCTCCTTTTTATGCTTTTATCAAAAAGATAAAGTATCTCAGGTTCATTACAACTAGGTGGTTACACTCTTACGCTGTTTACAACAGCCAATTTTTCTGCTGTGTACACTTCCTGTGAACTCAATACAGTTTTCTACAGTTTTCCTCAACTTCTATTTATTTATTTTAATTATACCAATTTACAATACCTTAGTATTTAGCTTCACCGCTAAATGCTAAATCTAAAGACTAAAAGCAGACTGATCAAATCACATACTAGCAAACTTTTAAACACTGATTGGAAAACGTCCATGAAACAGACATATCCAAACGTCTCTGCTCTAGAGGATTGAAAACGCTGGAGTAGTGTGGACTCTAGGTGCAAACGTAGCACTAGCAAACGTAGCAACTAAAATGTTGTAGTGTGGATGTAGCCCTAATTTGGCTGTAAATTGTAGTTTTATGTGTCCCAATCACCTCACTTCTCCTATCAAATCAGTGGAACCTGATCCACCTACAAAAGTTTATTCTTTGTTTTATTTTATTTACTTTATAAACCTAAAATTTGGTTTATCCAACTTTGTTTTCTTTGTGTTGCCTGACCCAGGGTCGTAACACTTTTCCTCCAATGAGGCATACAGACCTGACAGCTGGAGGAGCTGTCGCCATGGTGACTGGGGTGGACAGAGCATGACAAATCATGCAGCAAGGCCACAGTACCTCAGCTGCATCTCATATAACACCAACACACTCCAACACTGTCAGCCCAACACACACCATGCACTAAGCTTAGGCACACCCTACCTCACAATACACAAAGGGCTCCACTGCTGACAGAGGATCATCCACCTAAAGGGGGATTTTACCTGTGATGTCAAACCACAAGAGGGCAGAGTTCTGCTGCAGGGACACCACACCAACAATCTCAGCCACCTTGTCATTCTCCATGACAGTGAAATTGTAGACTGGCTCATCGAAGAGCAGTGGAAGAGTCGAGGGAGGAGGTCGGCGGATCCACTCAATGTGCAGACGAGCTGTGGAAGACTTCTGAGGACGGCCGTTGTCTATCGCTTTGATCTGAAGAAAGAGGCACAGAAGTGCTGAATGAAGAATGTAAAGTCGAAAAAGCATACAAAAAAGTAAATCACAGAAACAGCAAGTAGTAAACCAAAAAACAAAACAAAACAAAGATGGATAGATGTTTCTGGGTACTTAAATTCTTGTTTAGATGCAATGTGAAGTGAAATTTGGCAACCCCCAAAATAGTATGTCAATATTGGGGGATTAAGTAAAACCCTGAATTACGTGCAGTATGATTCACGTTAGGGTAAGAATATATTTACTAAAAAGGTAAAAACTAATTATAAGTTTGTGATGGAATGAAAACTAAAGTAATTATACATCTATTTAACACCCCAACTTCCACACTCCTATTGTCAGGTGGCACAAACTGAAGTAAACGTGCATTGCCGGTGAAAGTAGTCACTAAAATCTGGCATAATGAAAACCATTAGTTGCTAAAAATGTTTGAACTTACAACTTACAGGGCTAGGGTTACTAACCCTAACCATAACCCATTTACATATTTGCAGCAGCTATTGCAGTTAGACTAACAACTAACTCATCCATGCACATGCATCGGGAGCGATTCGGGGTTCAGTATCTCAAGGATACCTTGACATCCGGCAGGAGCCGGGGATTAAACCAAGTGGACAAACTGCTCTACCTCTGAGCCACAACAGCCCCAACATGTAGTTAGTGGTTCTATTAGTTTACTGTAGCCACATTGGGAGAATGAAGTTTCAGGATAGGTTTGTTTACACCACTAGCATAAAAGTTTGGCTGGAATGAGCATCATAGCCAGAGTGGGGCGAGTGGCTAAAGGAGTTGGGCTCAGCAGCCTCCCAGTGACAACAGCCGGGACCATACACAGCCACATACACTATCGGAGGCCAGGTGATTTACAGCGGTCCCAACCAGGACTATGGCTCTGGGGACGATGAATAGACGGCGGGTTCAGACAGGGACACAAAGAGGAGCAAGAGTGTAGTAAGTCGATAATAACGTAAGACATCATCCATCATATCGATAAGTCTATTTGTTTTTGTGATGTTGGAAATTATTTATTCTGTGTTTTGAACAACGAGACCTGTATACTGTGTTGAAATAAACTAAATCTTCAAACCTTGCTGGCTATTCTGACACATTCAGATTCATTACCTTTTTTCCGTTAGCATTTAACAAGCAGCTGTATATTGTTACACAGTAAATAGGTACCATAAAGAATGTGGTGACGGAGGCATGTGTTTTTTTTTTCTTGAGAGGCCAGTGTGCTGAGTCGTTATTCTGTTTTATTTTTTACTTTTGTATATGTTGTATTTTAATATGTTGTGTTTTTGTACGACTGCTATCTTGGTCAGGTCTCTCTTCTAAAAGAGATTTTTGATCTTAATGGAACTTCCTGATAAAATAAAAGATAAAATAAAAAACTATATATATTTAAATCTATTTAGTTATAGTTATTAGTTATCTGCTTTGCTTAGTTGGTAATCCAACATTGAGTACATCAGGTTTAAATAAAACCAAGAAATATAAAATGCTAAATGTAAAGCCATTAACATGCAAATTAAAATAGTTCTAAACCAATCATCCCCCCAAAAACCCAGAAACAGTTCAGAAAGAACCACCAAGTCTACTTGGTCAATAGTCAACTATCTATCCTAGTCTTTATCCTATCATCATTTTTTGAAGTTTGTTGTGGCGTCAGGTAGGTTTAAGACTCAAACACAACATCCATCCATTACGAAGAGAAGATGAGAAGATGTTTAGATGTCCTAAAACATGTTAGCAGACATTCTTAATAGTTGATTAAAGTTTGCGTACAGTCAGGATGTCGTAGCTCCCCGCAGTGAAGGCTTTGCGTGAAGATACAACTGCAGTCTTGGGGTCAATGAAGAACTTCCCGTCCTCGTTGCCGTCCACAATGCTGTAGGAAAGGTCGCTGTTGGGCCCGTCATCACGGTCATAGGCGAATACCCGATAGATGGGTTCGCTCTTCTTTCTCCGCTCTCTCTCTGGTAGTTTGATCTGGTAGACCTTCTCAGGAAATGTAGGCTTGTTGTCATTTTCATCCAGGACCTGAACCATCACCCACACTGTACTCTGCCTGGGACTAGGACCACCATCTGACACCAACACCTGCAGGGGTTGAACAGGGTGAGAAATTTAGTACAAATGTTCAGGGCGGGACTCCTATCAAACAAACATGTGAAGTTTCATTGAGGATGTGTTCAGGGTGGGACTGTTAGAGAATATGTGAAGTATAGAGGAGATTGAACATTGTAGAGTAGTATCTGTTTTATGGCGAATTGTCTAAATTCGATGCAACGCCACAAGCACGCTGTTCGATGTACAGGCACAAATAGCACAACTTTTCAACTGTAGTTTGTTTTGGTTGTACTGACAGATTTTGAAATTCTTCTGATAAATTCCCTAGGAGGAGTTTGTTCAAATACGACGCAAAAAATGGCCAAAAATCTATGTAAAATTCAAAATGGCCGATTTCGACACCACACCATGGACACGCCCTTCAGCTTACATGCACAAATAGCACAACTTTTAATCAGTAAATTTATTTAACCGTACTGACCAATTTTGAAGTTGATCCAATAAATCCCCTCGGAGGAGTTTGTTTAAATACAGCGCGAAATGACTGCTAAATCCAAAATGGCTGACTTCCTGTTGGGTTTGGGATATGGCGCCCACTGGCTTTTTTGTGCGTCTGAATAAGATCTACGTGTGTGCCGATTTTAATGTATATTGGTGAAAGGGGTCCCGGGTGGTACAGATTAGGGGCCCATGAGAAAAATACGTAATTTTTTGCCACGACTGACATGTGCGCCGCGTTTCATGAGTTTTCAAGCACGGGAAAGCCTCCAAAAATGCGTTCGTTTGGAAGGAAAAATAAACAGAATTTCTTCAATTACAATAGGGCCTTTGCACGGTCAGTGCTAGCCATGCTCAGGTGCAGCTGGTATGTGACCGGGGATGTGCAATTGACAACCCGCCCTATCTTTACCCCTGCTCTCTAAGTACACCGCCAGCGTACTATGAAAGATACCGCCACAAAAAAGCCGCGTCACCCGCATCCAGGGCCATAGACCCTGATGAAGGTTATACTACTACTACTACTTCAGTCGTATTACTGCTATTACTTCTGGTGGTTACCACTAATGCAAGGTAGTGCTTCAAGTTGGTACTTACTATTTTTTAGTTTAAAATAAAAGTTTTTTTAAAATACAAAGGCTGTATTATTTAGAAGAACAGGACAGTAAAAGCTACAATTCAGAAGCAGCTTAAAATGGGAAGCATAATCAGACACACAGGACAAGATCAGGATGGAGTAACAAGAGCCAAAAGTACAGGGAAAATGAAATTAATTAATAAAGTATGAATAATCTAAACAAATCACAAACTAAATTGTATACAAATATGTAAAGATGCAATTTGGTGAGATTAAAAAAATTAATGTGATACTTCTTTTAAACAGCAAAGGGCGCTTGTACTTTTGACTTTGTTTGCTCGCTTCAATAGCTGGTGTCCCATAGCCAAAGGATTGATATACACAACGCTGGGGTGGGGGGACTTACGCATGGTAGCGGGGTGTTTAGAGTGGTCTTAACTGCTAATAGTTTATCACATTAATGGTTATCAAAATTATAATTTATCAAAAGATAATAGGAAAATGACTTTTAATTAATATTTTTAGAGTTCCTCGGGGCACCACCCTTAAATAAGCGGAGCGATAACAATAATCGGATTGGATCAGGTGCTCATAAAAATTCACTAATATTAATTCAGGAATATGGTTAAGTAATTAAATTAATAATTACCACCAAAACATTCATTAATAATTAGCTTAGGGAGTGTTGAGCTTTGGGAGTTCTAATAGAAGATGTTTGGTATCACTCGCCTCTTGTACGAAATTTAATTAGGGCAGCATATGTAAACACAAACATTTTAATAACCAAGATACTAATTAAAAGCAAACAGAGGAAAATACACAATCATACAATCTAACTTAAAGTGAACTAAAGGCGTTGGTGTTGGTGTGTTTTTGTGTGTGGCGTGTGGTGTTGTTGTTCATGGGGGTCATAAAGGGGGTTTATGGGCCTTTTTCCTCTGACCAGATGTGACAAAAGCATGGGGAGGGGAGGTTTTGAATTCTCTCCTCCACGTGTACCTAGGACCGTGTGGGTGTGTCTGCTGTGTTTTTAGATTAACGGCGGGCCCGTAAAAGGGAAGTAAGGTGGTATGCAAAGCGATGTCTGTTGTGAAGAATTAAACTAACATCACCTTAAGCACTGGTCTCAAAGACTACAGGTTGCCTACGGGTAACCAGTTAATCAAATCAACATCACAATAACCACCAGTAACTTGAATTAAAACATGGAGCAACATTAACAATCAATTAAACAGGTCTTGTTTAGCCTTAACTCGTGTTAAGGTTGTCATGTCTATTGCCCAGTACGTTACCAACCGGTCCAAAGGGGGAAGATGAAGAAAAGAGTTGCGGGTGAGCTGCGGTGGTCAGCTGGCGGGGCCCTGTGAGCCAGGAACTGATCAGAATTTTTTTTATGCGTCTGAGTCCAAACTGTCTCTACTGTTGCGGATGGTCAGCTGGGTGTTAGGTATCGCAGGAAAAAAGCAGGCTTTTTGTGCCGGCTGCTATAATCCTTGGTCGTGCCGTCGTCGGTGGTCAGAGCCAGCACGGAGGTCAAGAACTTATACCCGGGGTGGCGGTGGTGGTGGAGGCAGGAGCTGAAGTTAGATGGTGGAGAAGAAGAGAGAGTGAAGGAGGAGGGCATCTCTCTGGCTTAAGTTAGCCTTGATGGACAGGTCTTGGTGTCAGAGGGGAATCTTGACCAATGAAAGGCCAGTGTTTGGGCATTTATGGGGCCTTTAAACCACACCTTGGTCGCATTCTTTGACCCCCCCCAAGGGGGGTCTGCTATCTTGGCCGGCTTGTTTTTATGACTTTCAGTCACCACAAAACAGGGCTTTTAGGACTTACAACAAGCCTCACTAGCAGTCAACAAAGGTTTTGAAGCCACATTTGGTCGATTCCAACAGTTCCCTTTTTTGTACCGGGTTAAACACTTTAACATGGAACAAGTTCATGGTTTTAAGGTACTCCCTTTGGCATCCCAAACAACGCTGAACACTTTGAATAAATTACCACGGAAGCAAACCAATTGCCAGACCCAACCCACACACGGTTAAGCCAAAAGCCACAGGCTTGCTGGCCTACCCCAGCTTATTTTTAGGCTGAACTTAAAGTAGTTGATCCCCCTCTTGCATAGCTTGAGTTTAGTAGAAAGCAGTTTGTTTTGCTTATTGTACCTTACGGTCATTTTTGTGCGCCAAAACCATTTGTAATACATGGAGTTGTATTCATTGAACATGTTAGCTGGTGAATAATTTTGCCAAGTAAACGTTAGCCAAACTAACAACTTTCTTGGCTTCGCAAGGAATGTTTTAGTGACCAAGCAAGTTAGCCACCAGGTGCAAACCCAGCCATGGCCCTGAATAACGATTACTTACAGCACTGGCCATCCTGCAACGCAACCGACAAAGGTAACTTACAAAAGCAGCCAGCCAGATTCAGGCCCGGGGAGTCTGAATTGAAGCCTAGTTGGACAGTATTTGCCTATATAGCTTGGGGCTAACAATACATCCTTTATAAGCTAACCGGGTTAGCTCAGGCGCACACTGTTGACAATGTAGGACAAGCCAGAGGAGAGAAGGGCAACAAAAATCTGAACTGCCATCATTAATCAGAATCAGATCAGAATCAGAAATACTTTTAATAAAATCCCCCGGGAATTACTTTTTGCTTTACATACTCCAGAACATATAATCATATTAAGGAATTATCATAAATTGTATTTATATATATATATACATATATTCATATTAACGTTAAAAGTTACAGGGTTTAAAATGTTGCAAAAAGTGCAAAAATGATTGTCCGTGTTTGACGTCAGATTACAGAGGAGAGGGTGGTCTGACTCTCTGGATGGGGAGGCGTTGCAGAGTTTTGATGACCACAGGCAGGGAATAATTTTCCATGGTGGCGGCTCTGTGGTTCATGTGGCATTTGTTTGGTGATAAATCCAATATAAATCCAGTCTATCAGGCAGTCAAGGAAAGTTTTCGGAAAGTACATTTTTTTAAGTTATGTTTACAACTAAGTATACTATTTGGGCATAAAACGGTTATTAACTAGATTAAAAAAATGGAGTAGTGTAAAATGATTCGAGAAAGCCATGGACACCACACAATCCTCCCTCATTTCTGTCCAAACCAACTCTCTGTTTTTAGATAGATAGATAACTTATTAATCCCACAATTGGGGGGAAAATTCACTTGACATAAAAAGCTACAGACATTTAAAAAAAATGTTGTCTTTGTTGTCTTGACCCAATGAATTCTCTGATGTCTCTGATGTGAACTAACACCTCTCTATTTCGCCTTTGCAGCAGGCCAGGTCGAGGTGGGGGTCTACTCCCTCACCGAATCTGCAGGAGGTTCCTTTCTCATCGATTAAGTTCTTTCAGGCATTGCGTCTCTAGAACGCATTCTCGACCGTGAGATCAGCCGGCTTATCAATAACAGTCCATGGCATCTGACTTGGGCTCACCACCTGCCCGCTCTCCTCATTGCGTCAATGTCACGATCACTTTGCCTTGGACATCAATGACAAACCCACCTGTGTTTGCAGGCGCCGTGATCAGGGCTGGCACAGTGCCAGGAGGATGCTTAAGCGTGGGAACAGACGGCTTCCTGAGAGTTTATGCTGGCCAGGCAAGGACATTTGGGACCAATGCTGAGATCCACTTACAGTATCCGATCAGGCAACGAGCACGGGGGGAAAGCTTCCACATCCACCCACTGGACTGGTTTAGTGTGCTAACCACATTTCTACACTATGCTCATTCACATAGCCGCCTGCAGTTTGGCGATGTCACACGACAGCGTGTCAGGTTTCATGGCTGCTGCCCCCTGTGGTTTCTTCAATACACTTTTTCCCCCCTTAATATTTTAAAAATGTCAATGAAAAAGTAAATCCATTTTTATTTTTTATATTCAATTTACAATGCCTTAGGTTTAAATGTAATGTGGGACGTGTTAACCAGCAAGAGCCAGTCATATTGTGTTACTTGCCCTTCAGCCAGCTCACTACCAAAAATTCTTTTCACAAGTGA